CATAGCTCAAACGACTAAAGACGCTCAAAAAAAGCAGTAACCTCATTTGTCTCCATATCCTCTCTTGTCGTTAAATAGTTATACAATGTGCTCAATATCAGTTAAGAGCATCACTTTGAAAAAAATCAGCATCTCTAATCATGTCATACTATTTGAACAATGTAACGGTTTCCTGGGAGATTTTCTGTTGAAACTAGGGCACAACTCATTTCCCGTTTGCAAGGATGCTGATTGACAATACAATGTTGATCTTAGTCTCATATTATTACTTTTTTATGATCCCTAAGTGTATAATATACATCCTTTTTATCAGTTGGATAGAGGCAGTCAATAGGGTGCCTTGGACCTAGGATTCCTGCACTTATTGACACTCGTTGGCAAAGCAATGGTGAGTCTTATAGGTTGGTGGCCATACTACGAAATGATTGATGGAGGTTTCCTGCCCGGTGCTCTACCAACTGAGCTACTAGACCCAACTGCTTACCAGATTTTTCATTTCACATTCAATCGCCAAGAATTTTTTCTGACTAACAAGTGAATTCTTGACATGTTACTATCGGTTGATCATACTCACACTGGCCGCCCACGGCAGTTGGGGAAAACTCTTTGCGACTGAAGAAAAAGTTAATCGGTTCTCATAGCTTGGTTGGCCGCTGGTTCGAATCCTGTCGTGGCTCAGATTTTTATTCCACATTCAGTCGTTACCTAGTATCAATACAAGTTTGCTAAATCACGACTGTTTCAGATATTTAAAATGATCATAAGAAACTGATTAATTTCCTTTGATAAATCAATGTACGAATTGTTTTTATCGTCATCTGATTAATCACTAAGGTTAATTTTTTTTTCTGTGTTCACATCTGTGCTTTGGATTAATTTAACAACTGGCATTCATTTGATTGGCTAGAAACAAACAACGCCTGCAGCTGATTGGTTGAATGTTTACAAAGTCATTAGTGTTGAATTTATATTTCTTTGTTAATTGCATGTTTCATAAGTTTTCATGTTATTGCTAGTAAATTTTCCGTCAATCATTGAACCTAACTGATTTGCCACAATTAGTGTATGGGCTCCTGGGCGGATGCCTCAATATTGTCCGCATTTTCAGTTTTCAAATCAATGATGGATAGTGGCTATCAGTGCAATCTAGAATATGCGTTTTGTCCTGCTTAGGACTCATCAATTACCTTCTTGTGACTGGTATTGTCCCCACCCGAACTCCTTTCAAACTCCAAAACGTCATCCACTATATAACTAAGTCATGATAGCCATTCCTCACGCAATTGGCATCGCATAGTTTTGGTTTCATAGCTTATAAGTCTCCTTCGTACAAAGAACGGCTGTCGTGACTCAGTAGTTCAATATATAATATTCTGGAGTTTGCAGAGATGATAGCTGCAATCTCCACTGAGTGGCAGGTACACCCAGCTGACAGGTCTCAAATAAGATGAAACGCAAGTCCCGAATTCCACTGGTAGCCAGTATCCATGATTACTGTCTATTTTCTTTTGCAAATTGTCGAAACAATATCCTTCTGTTATGGATGGTTCGTTGGTGGTCACTGATGAGGAGTCCTATGCTAGGTAGGACAAAACAGCTGTCCGATGCTTCTAGAGTTGCAGCTATTCTCCGACTGATGTCCCTGTGTGGTAATTGCGACGTTGATATTTTAAGTTTACTTCATATTTCCTACTTCTAGTATTTGCTGGTAATTTCAATTTATTTACAGCTGATGAGAGACTGCGAAACCGAATGAATTTGTTCAGTCCATCTGATAAATCTTTTTCTTACTTCTTCGAAACATATCGAGAAAACGTAAATGCATGAAATCGGACTACATGAGACGAATATTTTCATTTGGGACAAATGGAAGTGTGCATGATAAATTTCTAAGACAGTCGGATATACAAGGTTCAGGCTACAGTGAAGTTTGAAAATGTTGTTTGCACTCGGATGGCAATTTGATTTAATATGGCATTTCACTTACAACAATAGGACTACCCAAACAATAAAAGTTGAATGATTGATTACTTGCAATTTATCAAAATGTAAGTAATTTCTGCATTTATGTCAGGTCAGTGATAAATAGGCTATCTGACTCGTAAGTTAGTCGACAGATCTCTAGTTAGAAAACAGTTTCAAGGTCACGGTGAACATTATAACTGAAGTTCGGCTTTGCAAATGCAACCTCGAACGAAAACGCAGCATATATTTTGGACAACGGACACTTATTATTATCGCCACTACTGTTGCCAGAGATGTGATCACTCTGAATCACTTCGAACTAGCCTTTTTAGTCAGCGAAAATGAAGTCACTCCAGCACCACTTCACTCACGTGACAGCTCCATCTGCCAGTGTATGACTGCTGGATCCACCTTGCATGCAGATTCCTCGTATTCCTTCTCATGGTACATATAGTAGACATCAAATAACCAGGCCTGGATGTTACGTAAGTTTCATAAGTTGATTTCTTCTGTTTCTTAATCAAAGCACTTTATCCTTAGCTACACTTTTCGGTGTTAACCGTTACGTTTATGTATTGCATTACTATCACTTTTTGATGTTTCCACCCTCAACCCTCAGATGGTTCCTCGAGTGGGACCACATGCGGGGGATGACTGGAGAATGTATAAATATGTTTAGTAAAATCTTTAAATTGAAAATGTTACACCATTTTTCTCATTTCGTACAGTTTTTTATCATGTGTAAAAATAAGGTTTGTTCACCTTCCGTTCAATCAATTTCCTATGAACACGGCGTGTGTAATGGGTTAGCGTGGAAATGTAACGTGCTCCTGATTATTCAGTTGTTCTGTTCTCATTTGCTTCTGTTAGGTGTACTTACTGATTAATCGGCTTGGTATGTTACTGAAAAGCCTATCGTTATTCATCGCCGAAAATCACCTTCTGCAACCGAAATTTGTGGTACTTTGAACTGAATTGCAAAAGTATTAATAACCAGTGGTGGTTTCATTAGTATTATAGCATAACCTTTAATATTATTTAATTTTAAAAAGTGATGCATTGTTTGGCAGTAATGATGGATAGCGGCTAGCAGTGTGATCCAGGATGCTTCTTTCATCCTGTTTGCAACTCGTCAGCTGGATTTACCTGCCTCCCAGTGAATGGTGTTGTACCCACTAACACTCGAGCAATAAAATGTTACATTGTTTTCTTACACCTATAATCCTTTTGGGTATTTCGCTTTACTAAGACATTCTTTGTTCCACCAGAGAGAAGTATAGTTCAACCGAAAGTTGAACAAACAGTAATTTGATCATGTATCATACAGTCGCTGACATTCTCCTGTTAAAACACATTGGATATTTGTCTCTGAATAACCCACTTCCGTTTTAAGCAAAACGGATTTCATGGCTACTGTGAAACAAGTCAGATAGTCATTTTACTAGGGGGGTTTATACAAACAGTTTGCATACTGAATATGCATTGTAATAAATAGGCTTAATTGAAGTTGAGATTGAGGTTCGGTTAAAATCACTTCGATCGAAAATATCCATGTGGTTGAGGAATTAAAGCCAGTATTGGTTATTGACTGTAAATAAAAATTATCTCCTCAGTCCATCGATAATAAACCCTAAGGTATAGGCAGTTTGGGTGTAGAAGACTTTGAACAGCCACATTTCATGGAACGAATGAACAGTAAACATTAATCAGGTGATTATTTGTGCTTTATGATACAGCAAAGACAATCACAGTTTGAAGGCGTACACAACTTATTCAAGCCCATTTACCTCAGAAGAAAATGGGACATAGGAGACATATTTGAATACCATTGGTCATCAATTAGTTTAGATGAATAACTTGTCAGATATGAAGTATGGATCCAAAATGAGAAATATAGTATCCAGTAGTTAATCGATTATCGAGACACAATATTCTTCATTACATGTTCAGTGATTAGACTTTCAAAACTGACTATTTTTGAGACAATTTCCTAGTTAATCATTATTGTTTGAACAAGCTTTAGTCAACAATCAATCAGAATCACACCCTGTTGATCTTTTTCGGAGTTGAATTCCAAAAAATATTTACTCCATTTAGAAAAACTGATTTAAAGTTAAGCCATTGATTCTGTGATCTGATGCTGGATAGGGGTTCAAAGAGTACACTGATGACTAGTTGGGAAGTCAGCTGAAACAAGAAATCGAGGAGTTTACATCCATCGTTCGTACTTTCATATAGCCTAAGTTAGCAGATATTTTAAAGCTAAACCACCATCCTGCACTCGTGTCAAACAGGTAGACTGTATCTTTCAGATGATAAAATTTTGAACACAATTTATTGTCGGTAACCATAAAGAATGGCTAGAATAACATGGAATTGTAATTATGGTCAGTTAACTGATAGTAAATCACTGATATTCGACTTAGTGTATCAGTTAGAGTTTTGGCCATTTACAAGGTGAAGATAATAAGATTATAACAAAAACAGATGAAGGTGTTAACAACAGAATACGGAAAGATGTAGACCAACTGAACACTCCAGTTAAAAGGTCATATTACCAAAACGGAACAAAAGAATGTTTCAGCCTTACCGTAACCTTTGAAGTTAACTTGATGTCTATTGACCTATGAAAAATCCAACTTCCTAGCGAATAGAATGTTGGTAAGAATGTTATCAAAAAAATTCACAATTTTTGTCCAGAATTTTCATAGTTGGCTAAAAATATGACCATTCACCATTCTCTCAGAGACAGTGGGGTACCAGATGAAGCCAGTGCTAAGATAACCCATAAAAATGATTAGTTGATAAAATACATCTTGAAATAGAGTGTAATAGCATTGAGTACTTGAGCGCGTAAAACGTATTGGTACGATTTATCATCACTCTTGTATGCACATCATCCTCATAAGTGGTCTTAACTTTTCAGGGTTTTTGTAAACCAACTAGCCGAAATAAATATTTTTAAGAATCTTTCAATTATTTAATTGCATATCACCGCCAGTAAAGTTTATGGTGTCTACAATACATACTGATTGATGTTTTCAGGTATTTTCACTCTGTTTACCACTACTACTAATACTCACACTGCTGCTGCTGCTGCTACTACTACTACTACTACTACTACTACTACTACTACTACTACTACTACTACTACTACTACTACTACTACTACTACTACTACTACTACTACTACTACTACTACTACTACTACTACTACTACTACTACTACTACTGGATGTCTGTTTTCCTTGCTTCATGTGCAAGCTGTAGATGAAATGGAATATTGTTTGAAATCATTGAAAATTATCTGTAAATTATTCACTTATTGTACAGTTCATGTGAAGATTTCTTACGCACAATTAAAATTTTACTACTGGAACCCCTTAATACCAATAATAATGGACTCAAATAAATATCGTTGATAATGTCTAATGGAGAGTATAGCTGAGTTGCTTTTCTAAATTTTTATCAACCTAAAAGTTAAACAGCTAGACTGGTATATCACCTGCTAGGCAGTTCACAATAAATAAACAAATGTGTTGGTACTTTAAGGACCACTTTAATACGAATTCAATAATGATAAAAATTTTGAATACATTTTGCTCATCGTCTTGTAACTCATATAGCTTTTTTACATAACAGACATCTCACATGATAAAATTTACTTTGGGAACGAACCGACATCATTTAAACTGATCCCAGTTGTGAATAGGGATCTAGAGTAGTCTAAACTCTCTTATAAATGATTAAATATACAAGACGATTGGATGCAATGGGCAAGATCTTCTACGCATAGGTTTCATGCTTGCTTGAACCCATCACAAAGCCGAGTCTATGATAACGAGGGCATTGATATCCCCACAGAGACACAAACAATTCACTGCTGAAATCACCAATCTCACTACTGACCTATCAATGCTGTGATTGACCTGCTGTACGCCTGCATCAGATGCATTATTTAAACACTGCAGACTAATCACTTCCATCTTGTCTAGTAGCAATTGCGGTCTAAACACTTCAGTCATATACTCTGTGAATGTGTCAATGGGTGACCTATGTTTGCATTTTTGAAAAAGCATCATTCGTCTTAACGTTGCACATGCTCTTTGCTCACACGTCCCAACAAACACGGAACGTGGATCCACGACTTCGTACCAATCGCTTTCAATCATCATGCACCAATCACAGTGTCCCACTATGGTGATAATACATCACACTGGAAATTCATTGTTGCGATTCGATTAGAACATAGGAGTAGACAAGGTGGGACTGATCACGCTCCATCGACCAGTCAATCTAAGTAAATCAGAAGACGAACAAATGAATCAACGCATATGTCACTTCAAGGTAGGATGCGACCCCACATCAACTGTCCACTGTTTACAGTTTATCAGTGGTTCTCCAACTGAAGTCAGTCCGTAATGCATACCATCTCAAAATCAATCAACCAATCACCACACACACACACACACACACACATCCACACTAAATCATGTCAAATTGTCCTAGTAAATTATGATGAATTTCGGCAAATTCTGACTCATTTCAACTCCTCTTCATTCTATTTATTATTATTTATTATTAGTCCCTTGGGTTCCGAGTGGAACATAGGGCTTCAGTAGCACGCCTCCAGTGACCTCTGTTCTCTGAGATCTTTTGAACCTGGTTCCACGACAGCCCAGAAGCTCTCATTTCCTCCTCGCATGACCTCCTCCATGTCACCCTCGGACGTCCAACTCGTCGCTTCCCATAGGGATTCCACTCGAGGGCCTGACGCGTGATGTCCTCAGTCGGCCTTCTCAGTGCATGCCCAATCCATCTCCACTTCTTCCTGCATATTTGTTGCGTGATAGGTTCTTGGTTGGTTCGTTCCCAGAGTTCCTTGTTGCTTATTTTTTCTGGCCATCTGATCTTCAGCAACGAGCGTAAGCAGTTGTTGATGAATGTCTGTAGTTTATTGGAAATACCTTTCGTGGCGCGCCAAGTCTCTGAGCCATACAAGAGCACTGACTTGACGTTGGTGTTGAAAATCCGTATCTTGTTCCGCATGCTGAGTGCAGAAGATCTCCACACTGGTTTCAGGCTAATGAACGCCTGTCTTGCTTTTCCGATTCTGACTTTGACGTCCTCGTCCGTCCCGCCTGTAGTTGAAACAGTGCTTCCTAGATAAGTGAAGGAGGTTACTTCCTTCAAGTTTCTCCCGTTGACGGTGATTGGAGTTTGTTGTTGTTGTTGATGGTGGTGGTGCGGTATCTTCATCACTTCTGTCTTCTCTATATTCACCTGAAGTCCCGTCTTAGCTGCCTCTTCTGTCAACTTGTTAGTTTTTGCCTGCAGATCTTCAAGTTTATGTGACATTAGGCATAAGTCATCGGCGAAATCCAAGTCTTCTAGGTTCTTTTCCGTCGTCCAGTGTATCCCCCTCTTCTCGCTGCCTACTGTTTGCTGCATGATCCAGTCCACCACAATAAGGAATATCATGGGGGATAGTAGGCAACCTTGTTTCACTCCTGTCTTCACTTCAAAGGCATCACTGAGCTTCCCATTGTGGATTACTTGGCATGTGGCATCTTCATATAGTTGTTGAATGAGGCGGATAAAGGTTTGCGGTACTCCGTAGTATTGAAGCAGTTTCCAAATTACTTCTCGGTCGACGCTGTCAAAGGCCTTCTCAAAGTCGATGAAGTTGAGGTATAGAGCTGATTGCCATTCTACGCTCTGTTCTATGATGATACGAAGCGTTGCAATTTGGTCAGCACATGATTTGTACTTCCTGAAGCCTGCCTGTTCCGGTCGCAGTTTTGAATCCAGTGCGTCTTTAAGCCTCTCCAGGATGATGCGGCTTAATATTTTACTTGGGGTGGACAGGAGAGTGATTCCGCGCCAGTTCTTGCAAGCACTGAGGTCTCCCTTCTTCGGCAGTTTGACAAGGTAACCCTTCTTCCAATCGTCAGGTACCTTCTCTTCCTTCCACACCTTCTGCAATAGTGGTGTGAGCATGTCCGCTGTTGTCTCTGCATCTGTTCTCAGTGCTTCTGGCGGTATTCCATCTGGTCCTGCTGCTTTCCCACCTTTCAGTAGCTTTATGGCGTTCAGGACTTCCATTTTCGTTGGGGGATTTATGTTCACTTGTAATTCAGCGGCTGCAGGTGGTATTTCTGGACGAAGTGCAGGTGGTGGTCGATTCAAGAGCTTCTTGAAGTGGTCGGCCCATCGTTTCCTCTGTTTCTCTTCTTTTGTAATTAAATTTCCTTCTTCATCTTTTATTGGTTTCATCTGTGTTGGTCTCTTCCCTGATAGCAACCTGGTTATTTGATACAATGTCGTCAGGTCTCTCTTACCTGCAGCCTGTTCTGCTTCACTTGCCAGTGTGTCGTAGAAGTGTCTTTTGTCTTTGCGTGCACTCTTCTTCACTTCTTTGTCCAGTGTTTTATACATTGTGCTCAGTTCCTCTTGTCGTTGAGCATCCTTGCACTGGTTTATCTTCTGCTTCACCATCCTCCTCTCCTCTATCAGCTTCCAGGTATCCGTCGAGATCCATTCCTTGTCTTCTTTCTTCTTCCTTCCTAATACGGCTGTGCAGGTTTCTTTCCACATAGCTTTCAAAGACTTCCAGTGTTCTTCCACACAGGTTTCTTCAGGGATGTCCCTCGACGTCTCCCATTTTGTCTTGATGGCTGCTTTGAAGATCTCCTTTGTAGTTTCATCCTTCAGTTTCCGAGTGTTGTACTTGAATTGAGGTCTATCACCAGCTTCCTTGAAGGCTTTTAACTTGATTTGGAAGGTTCCTTGCACTAGATAGTGGTCTGAACCTACATCTGCTCCTCTTCTTGACCTTGTGTTAAGTAGACTGCGTCTCCATTTTCTTGAGATTGAGATAAAGTCGATTTGATTTTTAGTGTGTCCATCTGGTGAAGTCCATGTCGCTTTGTGGATATCCTTGTGCCTGAACACACTGCCTCCAATCACCAAATCGTTGAATGCACAGAATTCTGCAAACAATTCTCCATTCTCATTCATTTCACCTAGCGCCTCTCGACCCATGGTTAGTTCTCTTCCCGTATTGTCCCCTCCCAGTTTGGCATTCATGTCGCCCATTAGAATTTTGATATCGCCAACTGACGTCTTGTCCAGTGTTGATTGAAGTTGTCTGTAGAATTCCTCCTTTTTCTCTTGCTCTGCATTATTTGTAGGTGCATAACATTGTATGATTGTGACCTTTCTTCCTTTTGAGTTGAACCTTGCTGTCATGATCCTGGAGGAGATTGGTTCCCACTGCATGAGAGCCTTCGATGCTCTTGAGGACATCATGATAGCCACTCCCTCAGTGTGCTCGTGGTTGGCGTCTGGGTGACCGGAGTAGATTATTGATTCTCCAGTTGACAGTTTGGAGAGTCCACTCCCATTCCATCTGCTTTCGCAAATCCCAAGCACTTCGATGTTATACCTTCTCATCTCCTTTGCAATCTGGGCTGCCTTACTGGGTTCAAACATCGTGCGGACATTCCATGTCCCCACGTTTACTTTCGCTTTCATCGAGAGAAGACACATCGGCCAATTGGCTTCCCGAAGGCTTTCACCAACTGGCGTCATTTCGCCTCTCCGATTCCAGCGGGGAATAAGTTTGTTTTCATTTTTTATATTTTGTTTGTGCTTTGAAGTTTCTTTAGCGGTTAGATTTGTTTTACGGGGTAGGGTTGCTAGCCCTATGCCCAACCTTCCCTCTTTACCCGGGCTTAGGACCGGCTAGTAACTAGTAAACTAGTTAACCAGGCGAGGTTCCTCTTCATTCTACTTTCACTTATTTATTTTAGTCGATTGATGAAATTATTTCGAAAAAGAAAAATGAAAGAATAATTTATGTCACGCATCGATAGGTATTAATTAATTAATTGGTTGGTTGGTTGGTTGGTTGGTTGATGAGTGATAGGGGAACTGGTGTTGTGTGATGGTGTTACGCAGAGTCGATTTCCATGTGTACATCCAGTTTATTGAGCTAGTAAATATTGAGTCGACTCAAGTGGAGTGTGTTGAGAAATGTGATTGAGAAAACTTGATGAATAGAATGAAGGCAAATTGAGCTTCAAATGGATTGAACGGTCACACGTAGAGTGCTGTGCTGATGAATTAAACTTGCCTCAGTGTTGCCAAATTCACATTCACTGGTGTGGAGATTTTGTGTTGTTGTTGTTGGTGGTGGTGGTGGTGGTGGTGGTGGTGGTGAGACGTCTACTTACAGTTGAGTTCAATTCACTTTCATATCTCTCTCTCTCTCCCTTGGTGATATATGCGCACACGTGTATGTACCGTTCAAGAGGGATTCTCTGTTCATGTACATATTGACAGTGGAAGAGGGTGGATGAGAAGAAAGTGGAATGTGTGCTGTGAATGACTACAGTACAATTGACTACTTCACACGTGT